TCAGCCTCGACGTGGAGATCCATAACCCACAGTCCCTCGCCGTCGCCATGAGCCTCGCCCGCAAATTGGAGCTGCGCGACCAGTGCGCGCTTTCCGCCGCGCCACCAGTGCGTGTTCCACAGAAGGGCATCCTGCCGACACCAGGACCACGCCTCGCGCCCCCCGCTCCGGCCCCACCAGCCGCACCTCAGCAGGGCCACAATCTGCCGGACGGACGCCCAATCAAGCGTCTCTCCCAGACAGAGATGGAGGAACGCCGTCGCCTGGGCCTTTGCTTCAACTGTAACGAGAAGTTTGGCAGGGGCCACAACCGGGTGTGCCAGCGCATCTTTCTCCTCGACTTAGCGCCGGACGACGACGACGACGACGCGGCCTCCGCCACTGATGATGCATCGCGGGCCGACCCTCAAATCTCGCTCCACGCGATCGCCGGCGTGCGCACGAGTGAAACCATGCAGATGCAGATTACTCTCGGAGGTGTCTCCCTTCTCGCCCTGATCGATTCAGGCTCCACCCACAACTTCATCGCCGAAGAGGCGGCCGCTCGTGCTACGTTACCGCCCCCCACCACAGAGAAGATGCGCGTCACGGTGGCCAACGGCAAGCGCGTTCCATGCCAGGGCGCGTACCGCGTCGTGCCCTTCCGCATCGGCCACGAGGAGTTCGCGGAGGATTTCCTCGCCTTGCCGCTCGCGGGCTACGACATCGTCCTGGGCACGCAGTGGCTGGCGTCGCTCGGACCGATCCTGTGGGATTTCCGAGCCCTCTCCATGACATTTTGGCGGCGGGGCCATCGGGTGTGCTGGCACGGCATTGCAGGACCGGACGGGCCAGCCCTAAAATCATGCAGCGGCCGCGACTTCCTGGACGCCATCATCACCGAGTTCGAAGGCATCTTCGCCGACCCCTCCGGCGTGCCACCGCCACGCAGCCGCGATCACGGCATCACCCTGCTACCTGGTTCCGCCCCGGTGGCCGTCCGTCCGTATCGATACCCGGCCGCGCACAAGGACGAGCTGGAGCGTCAGTGCGCCGCCATGCTCGCCCAAGGTATCATCCGTGCGAGTTGTTCCGCATTCTCGTCCCCGGTACTGCTGGTCCGCAAGGCCGACGGGTCCTGGCGCTTCTGCATCGATTATCGCGCCCTGAACGCCATTACTGTCAAGAATGCGTTCCCGATTCCGGTGGTGGACGAACTCCTCGACGAGCTACGGCACGCTCGTTTCTTCACCAAGCTCGATTTACGTTCCGGCTACCACCAGGTGCGGATGCGTGCGGAGGACATCCCGAAGACAGCTTTCCGTACTCATGACGGCCTCTACGAGTTTCTGGTGATGCCGTTCGGACTCTGCAACGCGCCGGCCACGTTCCAGGCCCTCATGAATGATCTGCTGCGGCCATACCTGCGCCGTTTTGTTCTCGTCTTCTTTGACGACATCCTCATTTTCAGCGAGACATGGGCTGACCATCTCCGACATGTGCGCACCGTCTTCACGGTCCTGCACCAGCACCGTCTCTTCGTCAAGCGCTCCAAATGCACGTTCGCCGTTGAATCAATCGCATACCTGGGTCACACCATCTCCGCTGCAGGCGTGGCCATGGATCCAGAAAAGGTGCAGGCAGTGGCGGACTGGCCGCAACCACGCTTGGCGCGCGCGGTTCGGGGCTTTCTCGGCCTTGCGGGGTACTACCGCAAGTTTGTCAAGGACTTTGGCGTGGTTGCCGCGCCCCTGACGGCCCTCCTTCGCAAGGATGGTTTCTCTTGGTCGCCGGAGGCGGCAGCAGCTTTTAACACCCTCAAGACGGCAATCACCATGGCTCCCGTCCTCGCGTTACCGGATTTTACACGGCCGTTCATCGTCGAGTGTGACGCATCGACGTACGGTTTCGGGGCCGTCCTTCTTCAGGACCACCACCCGGTGGCTTTCTTTAGCCGGCCAGCCGCGCCACGTCACCGTTCCCTGGCAGCGTATGAACGGGAACTCATCGGCCTGGTGCTCGCGATTCGCCATTGGAGGCCGTACCTATGGGGGCGTCAGTTTGTGGTAAAAACGGATCATTACAGCCTCAAATTTCTGCTTGACCAGCGTTTGGCCACCATCCCGCAGCATCATTGGGTTGGCAAACTCCTGGGATTCGACTTTACGGTGGAGTACAAGGCAGGTAGTACCAACACGGTGGCGGATGCACTTTCCCGCCGTGACACGGAGGAGACGACGATCATGGCGGTCTCAGGGCCTCGTTTCGACTTCATCAATCGCCTCCGGCAAGCGACGTCCACTGATCCGGCGCTCGTCACACTGCGGGAGGATATCACGGCAGGTGCGCGGCAACAGCCTTGGGCGCTCTCCGACGGCCTCGTTACTTTCAACAGCCGCCTCTACATTCCGCCGTCATCCCCGCTACTCCAGGAGATTCTCAGTGCCATGCACGATGATGGGCATGAAGGCGTCCTGCGCACATTGCATCGTCTCCGCCGCGATTTCCACGCACCTAACCTTCGCAAGATGGTGCAGGAGTACGTCCGCACTTGCGGTACTTGCCAGCGGTACAAGTCCGAGCACTTGCACCCCGCTGGGCTGCTACTGCCGCTGCCGGTGCCCACGGGCGTGTGGACTGACATCGGCATCGACTTCGTGGAAGCGCTTCCTCGAGTAGGCGGGAAGTCTGTCATCCTCACCGTGGTGGATCGCTTCAGTAAGTATTGCCATTTTGTGGCGTTAGCCCACCCATACACGGCAGAGTCAGTGGCACAGGTGTTCTTCGCTGAGGTTGTTCGTCTCCATGGCGTGCCGCAGTCCATGGTCTCTGACCGCGACCCCGTCTTCACCTCCGCTTTTTGGCGAGAGCTCATGCGCCTCACGGGGACAAAGCTGCACATGACGTCAGCATTTCACCCGCAGTCGGATGGTCAAACGGAGGCTGCTAACAAGATCATTGTGATGTATTTACGGTGTCTTACCGGGGATCGTCCCAAGCAGTGGCTCCGGTGGCTTCCCTGGGCTGAGTACATATACAACACCGCCTACCAGACAGCAACCCAAGAGACTCCGTTCAAGCTTGTGTATGGCCGTGACCCTCCCACTATTCGCTCTTACGAGCCCGGCGACACACGGGTGGCTGCAGTGGCCAGGAGCATGGCTGAGCGCGACGAACTTATCGAGGACGTCCGCTATCGTCTACAACAGGCACAGGCGGTCTATAAGTCCTACTACGACAGACGTCATCGGGACATTCGGCATGAGGTGGGCGATTGGCTTTGGCTTCGCCTTCGACAGCGCGCCGCGTCCTCTCTTAACTTGCCAACCAGGGGCAAGCTCAAGCCACGATTCTATGGGCCGTACCGCATTTCAGAAGTGATCAACGACGTGGCATACCGTCTTGAGCTTCCGGCACGCTCGCGCCTCCATGACGTGTTCCACGTGGGCCTCCTCAAGAAGTTCTTCGGCATTCCTCCAACTACACCGCCGGGATTGCCTTCGATCCACAACGGGGCGGCTGTTCCAGAACCAGAGCGCGTGACTCGTGCGCGCCTAGCACGCGGCGTTCGCCAGCTACTCGTCCACTGGAAGGGTGAAGCAGCTTCGTCAGCTACATGGGAGGATCTTGACAGTTTCGTCGAGCGCTACCCCGCTTTTCAGCTCGAGGACGAGCTGCTCCTCGAGGGGGGGAGAGATGTCATGTGGGGCACGTCTTACAGACGTGGGCCGCACGGCCAGGAGCAGCCGATGGCCGCATCAGGCAAGGCGCAGGCTGGACAGGAGTCCTGATCCGGGCACATTAGTTCCTAGACTAGTTTGTTTCGTATAGGTTTCTAGTTTGTTATTAGCCCATGGGGCCTTTATATATCAGATAGTTAGCACCCTTTAGGGATAAGCAATAAAGTTATTTCCTTCTATCTTCCCCTCCCGCATCATAGAGCAGCCAGGCAAAAACCCTAGCGCTCCTATCCACCGCGACTACGAACTACGTAGTCGAGGTCCTGCTGTCTTGGGCACCGAGGCCCTTGACAGTTTTATTTACTGTTAGGCTGTTGCAGATCCTCTAGTTCTGCTAGTTGACTGATCTATGTTTTTCATAGTTGACACTGTTGCAGTACTCTAGTTCTGCTATTTTTCAATGATTGTTCATGTCCCACTTTGCCCCTCTTTTTTGCATATATATGTTTACCATGGTTGACGTGTTGCTGTACTCTAGTTTCGCTATTTTTCAACGATTGTTATTGTTCCACTTTGCCTCTCTTTTTTGCATGCCTAAATATAATGGAGTAATCACCAGTACTGTATTAATTCTTGAACTGTGTATTTCTTAAATAGGTAACTTGGATGAAAAGGTCTCGGAGAGGGTTTTGTATGAGATTCTTATTCAGGTAGGTCGTGTAGTAGACTTGCACATACCCCGTGACAAGGAAACTAGTCGACCCAAACGTTTTGCTTTTGCTGAGTATGAAATAGAGGAGATTGCCCAGTATTTCACTTAGTATTATATTTTTTGAAACTCACCCAAAAACAATTGTTGAGATGTATTTCATAGCCTCATGCCAACATAACTATAAAAATAAACATTCAAGGGGACCGAGTTCAGTGAATATGTGTTAGAAAAGTTCAATTCAACCCTGCACTTAAGTTCAATACATAATAGAATACGATATTGCCAACTTATCCTCCGGCAGCAGGTGATGCTCCCCTGCCACCACTCTTCCTCCTCCCTGATGGTACTACGCCACCACCACGTACAGGCAGTTCGCAGCCACCACCCCTGTCTGTTCAATGTCGTCAGTGTGGACGCATCCCACTCCAATGCCATGGCTTATAATTCAACGGCAAACAGTGGAGCCTGCTGGAGGAGTTGCGGGGTTGAGGACCTCCTGCCCAACAGTACAACTTCTTGTTTTGTGGCCAGTCGCTCAAGGAGCTGAGTGCAGGCCGCTCCTTGCTACAAGCTGCTACTGCACCTACGACTGTCTAGCTCAGCTGCAGCATTTCTGCTGCTGCTGATGCATGCCCCTTGCCCACCGACACCACCTACCTCTGCCTCCGCGACCTCGCCCGGCCGCTCAGCCAACGGAGCTCGACGAAGAGCACCCCGGTAAATTCAGAGCCACAACAGTTTATGCTTCAATCACCGTAGTTTGGATAGTATAGTTTAATTGATTATTAAGCTTGCACAGTCGGTGATTGCCTTATGTGTTGCTTACCTAGCTCCTAGATTCGGAATATTGTTCTCTGTACTATGTTTACTTGTATATTGGCAGATTAATTAACTTGAACATGCTGATTTCCTTGTGCAACAATCATTCTTGGTGTTCTGGGCTCTGTGGTGCTTTCAATTGAAATTTTGTAAGCATGCACATAGTGAAAATCAGCATAAGCATATATGCCTGAAAACCAAATCTAATTGCAAATTGAACCTGCTTAGTAAATGCATTATCCAGGGTTAGATGTGTGAATGATAGAGTTGTGAGATTTATGACCATCATGGATTAATGGTACACGTTATAGGGCTAGCCATAGAGGGCCTATTTAAGTAGCTGACAACTTTGTGTCACTGATAGGAATTCACCACAGCTTATAACTAACTATGCTTCTTGAAAGACATTGTTGTAAGATAGAAATGAACATGCTTTTGTATCAGGGTATCTTAGTGGTTTTTGTCATGTGGGGCATGTCTTACAGACGTGGGCCGCGCGGCCAGGAGCAGCCGATGGCCGCATCAGGCAAGGCGCAGGCTGGACAGGAGTCCTGATCCGGGCACATTAGTTCCTAGACTAGTTTGTTTCGTATAGGTTTCTAGTTTGTTATTAGCCCATGGGGCCTTTATATATCAGATAGTTAGCACCCTTTAGGGATAAGCAATAAAGTTATTTCCTTCTATCTTCCCCTCCCGCATCATAGAGCAGCCAGGCAAAAACCCTAGCGCTCCTATCCACCGCGACTACGAACTACGTAGTCGAGGTCCTGCTGTCTTGGGCACCGAGGCCCTTGACAGTTTTATTTACTGTTAGGCTGTTGCAGATCCTCTAGTTCTGCTAGTTGACTGATCTATGTTTTTCATAGTTGACACTGTTGCAGTACTCTAGTTCTGCTATTTTTCAATGATTGTTCATGTCCCACTTTGCCCCTCTTTTTTGCATATATATGTTTACCATGGTTGACGTGTTGCTGTACTCTAGTTTCGCTATTTTTCAACGATTGTTATTGTTCCACTTTGCCTCTCTTTTTTGCATGCCTAAATATAATGGAGTAATCACCAGTACTGTATTAATTCTTGAACTGTGTATTTCTTAAATAGGTAACTTGGATGAAAAGGTCTCGGAGAGGGTTTTGTATGAGATTCTTATTCAGGTAGGTCGTGTAGTAGACTTGCACATACCCCGTGACAAGGAAACTAGTCGACCCAAACGTTTTGCTTTTGCTGAGTATGAAATAGAGGAGATTGCCCAGTATGCTGTTAGGCTGTTTTCTGGCCTTGTTCGGCTTCACAATAGAACACTTAAATTTGCGGCGCGTTTCTTTTTTCTCCCTGGTTATCTAATTTGTTGTAGTATAGATTGCAGTGTGTTGTTCTTATGGTATAGTGAGTTACATTCTCTGAATAGTTGATTCTAGGTCCAACCCAATACCTGAGGTTCTTACCATTACTAGATTTCAGTTTATATATTTATTTACGAAGTAGTAGTAAAAGACTCAACCCTGAGATTATGCCCTTTATTTTTGACAGATCTCTGGGCAAGACAAGGCCTCTTCAAATGTCAATGTTCCTGTAACACCTAACATGAACCCACTACCAAATCCACCTCAGCCAATGAGTTTTGTCAAATAAAGCAATGTTCCTGCCCTATTCGTCTTCTTTGTCAGAATTTCTTCACAAAAAATCCAAGAGCTGGGGGGCATGGCCCCTGCAGTAATACACATAGCTCCACCAATGCTGCATTAGCCATTTTTAACACATACATCTAGCTTGCCGATAGACAAATAGGGCCGCCGCACTGCAACACAACGACCACCATGGCTGTCGCCTATACCAGATTCATGCGCTGCTATCGCTCCACTGTCGCGTACAGGCAGTTCAACGCCGCAACCACAGGCCTTTCAATCTCTCCGTCGTGGACACGCCCCTCCGCTCCTTCTGGTTGCCTACCATCCCGGTGTGGCCAGGGCGTTGGGTTCGCCGCCACTGCGACCAGCATCCAACCCGGCCACCCCAGGCCGTTCACCGTCGTAGCTACTAGGCCGATTGTGTCGAGCTTCCTGCCACTGCTGGTGGGGCTCCACCGCGGCACCGCCCATGCCGTTCACCATCGCCACACCGGGTTGTTCAACAACACAACTCGAAGTAGTTCGACGCCGCGGCTTGGGAGGCACGCACTTCGCCATGAGCAGTCCATTGCCGATGTACACTGCTGCTCTAAGCTCCTTGGTAATTGTTGCAATATGTCCAGCGCCGTCCCCAATCCAGCCCCGTGGCATCCGGACGATCGAGTTCAGCCAAGCAGCAGTCCACGGCCGTCAGCTCCTATTCCCACTATAGTGGTTGGGTTGCCGTTTTCCTCATCCTTCCCAGTGCGAGACAACCCAGCCCACATGCTGCTGCCGTCCGCCACCCCAAAATAGCTTTGGCTCTTCCTCAAGCAACCATTTGAAGAACCTTTTGGTGTTTTTTCTGCTGGTGATTGATTTTAGCAAATTGTAGCTATCTTGCGTATGGAACTTGAAAGTTCAAGATTGCTGTAGAATCAATTCTTGTAGTATAAATGTCCCAAAGTTCAGTGACATCGCTAATTGATGTAATGTGGTCTTGCATCTCCAATATGTTGCTCAGCATCCTCCCAATCCGCTCGATCTCGTCCTGCTCTGGAGCATGCTTCAGTTCAACAAAAAGCTCCGGAAAAGTTCATAGTACTTTGCATTTATGGGCTAAAGTATATTATTTTTTGTAATGCTACATCATCAGCTATAAAAAATTAGCTTAAGTCCTCTCTAACTCTTTTTTGCATCTCATATGCCAGGCCGTGGATTACGCCCAGCACGTCATTCCACAATGAGCCAGGATAGAGGTTGTTGGACACTGTCGTGCACGCAGTGAGCAACTGTGGCCGTTGGCCACCCCTTCGGTCAGTTGTCTTTCCTTGGTTTGATCTATTGAAAATTGAATTGTTGAATTTTGAACTGAACCGTTGAAAAGTTGGTACCTCACGGCAGTGTGTAGCTCTTGTATGTCTTCTGAACACTGATGCATGATGTTCTTTGGTACATGTTTTCAGTACGAGTTTGGAAGGGCAGGAAGTAATACTACAACAATTCAGTAACTAGAAAAAGGATACATCAGTTCAAATATACTTGCCATAAGTAGTTAAGAGTTTATTTGCTTAGGTTAAATAAATCAAGCTAATTTTCTGCAGTTCTCAGGTTAGAAAAAGGTTTCACTTCACTTTGCTGAAGTTCATCTAGAATCTTAAAATCCGATGTGGTCTATGGCAAGGTACGCACAGAATGATATCTACCTCGATGAGTGTAATGTGTTTTCTCACTTCCAGGCCTAGGAATGTTTTTTCATTTGACATACTTCAAATATTTTATGGGTAAATAAACCAATCATGTTTTTTTGTTCGGAGGGAAATAATAATAAGTTCTAAGGAAATAAATATAGAAGTTCATATTTAAAAAAAGGTATTTGGAAAGTAAAATGAAGTATTTCAAAGTACAGAACTTTTTAGGTTTCATTGCAAATTTGTAATGTTACTGTACAGAACTTGTGCATGCTAATTGGTTGGCTGTTGTGTGTGTGCAAGGTACATCCAACGACAACGGGTAGGTGGCAAGTGTACTTATGCGTAGAGGGACGGTGGCACGGAGCAGTTGAGTAGGTGTGCGTGGTGAGCAGCTACAAAACTGATTCTGACAGTGCAGTATTAGTCCCACACAGCCTCTCAACACCCCCTGCTTCAACCTTCACGGCCCAGGTCGTTCACTGCCTCGACACGAGGCCGTTCGACGATGCAACGCTCAAGCCGTTCACCCTTACCACCACAGGCCGTTCACCTCGGCCACACGAGGCCGTGCGATGACGCAGCGATCAGACCGTTCACCTCTGCCATAGGAGGCTAATGCAAACGCTAAGGAGTTGTGTTCTTTTTTAGTACATGTTTTGTGTGCTTTTTAGTACACCTACTTAACGATTCTATGTCCAATTTCCTCTGTTTATGCGTTCTTCCTATAGCACAACATGTGTTGTGTGTTATGCCCTAATAAGCATTTGAGAAAATCTTGTATGGATCTAAACTAGCATATGTTCTGTTTTGTTCTTGTAAATGAAGCTCCACTTCTGTTTTCTTTGAAGTTACTTGGCATAAAAATTAGTATATGTTCTCTTGTAAAAACATATATAAAATGTCTTGATGCATGCTAGCAAAAATCAAGAAAATACACTCAGTTCAGTTCCTATATTTTAATTCAGTTCAATTTAAAAGTATTTGCAACTGTTCAGACTAGTTTACAACAGATTTTTTGAAGTTTACAGAGGGGAAAATACTTGTTAGATTCATTTAAAAAGTGTCGTATAGTTCAACTTTTATATATAATCAATTCATAATGAAATGAGAGAAGTCTAGAATATCATCGCAAAACAATGTTGAGTTCAAAAGAAAACACGAAACATTTTTTGGATAATGAAAATACTTGTTTTTTTTGTTAATGCAATCCTCTTGTGGAAGCACTAAAACACGCTACATGTTGAACTGATACTGAAGACAAGGAGCATGACCAAGTGTGATGGAAGTTTTTTTGTACCCATGTGCGGAAACACTTTATTTTTATGATTATTATTGTGTTCATGTGGGTGCTTGAAAAGTTCTATCCAAGAATAGAGCGATGATTTTTGTGTTCAGGCCGGTGCTATGGGTAATATGATTCATGTACGTGTATTATGTGTGGAAAATATTTCTGTCAGATGAAAGGAAAAATGGTTTAATTAAAAATATTGATCAGTACGAGTGGTGGTCCGTTCAGAATAAAAGAAATGACAGAAATTCAAATTGTAAAATTTCAAGCAAAAAGAAACCCCATGCAATTCAAATGGTAAAAAGTACAAGTCGTAAAATTAGAGAAGTTTAGAACATCATTGTAAAAAAAATTGAGTTAAAAGAAAACATGCGAAACATTTTATTCGAGTTCAAAACACGCTGAGACACGCGACAACCACCCCAGTTCGGGCGTAGTAAGTACCTCAGTACAAGTTAAAAAAGGTGGTCCGTTCGGAATAAAAGAAATGACAAAAAATCAAATTGTAAAGTTCAAGCAAAAAAAAGAAACCCCATGAAAATCCTGTTTAGTAAGTACCTCAGTACAAGTCGTAAAATGAGAGAAGTTCAGAACAACGTTGACAAAAAATGTTGGGTTAAAAAAAGAAGAAACAAAACAAACACATTTTATTTTTAAATAAAATATCATTCAGTTCGATGATACAAACCATAAAAGTACAGGGGCGACGATACAGTAAACCGTTGAAAACTTACGAGAAAAATATTACCCAAAAAATAGAGCAAAGTCTAGATAGTGAAAACATGGTCAGTACAAACACATGCAAGCATCAGTACAAGTAACCTTTTTCGGAACCATTCAAAATTACTCTACAAAAAATAGCTCAGTACAAACATACACATATATCAATACGACTACTCTGTTTCTTAGACGAGAAAATAGCAGGATCCGTCATGCCGTATTCAAAATTACTCTTAAACAGTTGTGAAGTAGAGAAAACGTTCAACATGACTAAGTTTGGTATTTTCGATAGCTATCGAACGGTATATTATTTGCCATATTTCGACAAACTTTTTAAAAAAATCGCATTCAAAATCAAATTTGACCGTATTCAAATTCGTTTTTAAACCGTAAGGAATTAGAAAAACATTTCTATGCAAAAAAGTTGTGCATTTTCCGTAGCTTTCCAACGCCGTATTATTTGCGTCAATCCGACAAACCGTTTGCAAAAAATCACGAAAATACGTTTCGCCCAGAATTTCACCGTTTTTCAAATTACTTGTAAATCATATAGAATTAGAAAAAACAATACATATATGGAAGATGCGGATTTTCACCAGATTTTTAACGCCATCTTATTTGCTCAATTCCGAAAAACGGTTTGAAAATTGTGTCCAAAATACGATTCACGTTTTCGGTTTTGAAAAAAACGGTTTTTTCAAAACTGCTCTTAAACCATAATGATTTTGCAAAAACGTTCAATATACTTGAAATATGGTTGTCAAGAGCTTTCCAAGGATATATTACACGCCTCATTCCGACAAAAAAAATAAAAAAAGTTTTTGAACTAAATAAGACGATATTTTAAACACAACTAAAAGCATCAGTTCAACCGCTTCGAAAACATCAGTACAACCACCTGAAACCGTCAGTTCAAAAAGGGTAACAGAATAGCCCAGATGTATATAGAGTAGCACTATTCTGATCCCAGGATCAGAATAGCTATTCGGATCACGTCACGCCATATAAGGAGACGCGGAGCTGTTCCAGAATCTGAAAAGACAAACCCACTCGAACTTCCTGTAAAAAAACAATCTCTCGACTCCCACCTTATCCACTCCCCC